AAACTCAAAAGAAGAGAAAACAGGACTCAAACAGATACTTGTATTCAAATGTTCATTGCAGCATTATTCACAGTAGCCAAAAGATGGAAACAACTCAAGCGCCCATCAACTGATGAACAGATAAACAAAATGTGATATATCCATACAATGGAATATGATTCAGCCATAAAAAGGAATGAAGTTCTGACACATGCTACAATACAATGAATGTGAAATAAGCCAGACACAAAAGGACAAATACTGTATGATTCCACTTTAAAGAAATATCTAGAATAAGTAAATCCACAGAGACAGGAAGTAGATGATAGGTTACTGGGGGTGGGAGGGTTATGCCTAAGAAGCAGAGTATCTTCTCGGGCAAAAAAATTCTAAAATTGATTGTGGTGATTATACTAAAAGCCACTGAATTATACACTTTAGATGGGTGAATTTTATGGTATGTGAACTATATCTCAATAAAGCAGGTAAGAGGGGGGAAAAAAAAGACCTGGAATGCACTGATTGAGGAAGGAAAGATCTGTATGTGTACAAGCTTTACTCTAAAGAGAAAGTAGTTGTCATCAAAAGAAGGATTCACCTTCTGTTTGCAGTCGGCCAGTTCATAAGATAGTAACTTTTTTAGCTAGTTAGTTATTCTTCTGGTCTCTCACTTAGCTATTGGAATTTTTTGCTTTCATAATTTGAAACCTTTAAACAGGAATAAAATATTTTCAGGTAGTTTCAAATACAACAAAAATGTCTGAAACATGAAAATACTGGAATCAAAAATATATTTATTGAGTATATAATTGTATAAATTTCTTTTGAAAATAAATTACCTGAAATTTAATTCTATTAAAAATAAGACTGCTTTGAGTCTTTTCTCTTCTTACTTGGAGTGACACCAATAATTTTCTACTTGAGGAATGTGGTATCCTTTCAACAAAAATCAGAAAATAGTAGAAAGCCATAGTTCTGCTTATAATATTCAATTCCCTAACTGCTTACACCATAATTTTTAAAAAGCCTACAAAAATGAAAATACATTTAAATTCTTTTATAAGGATATTTATTATTTTTAAGAAGTCTTATTACTAATATTAAATAATAGAATAGGAAAATATTTTTTCTTAAAAAGAATATCTAAAAAATAAAAAGCAGTAATTATGAAGACAGAAGAGATAAAATGTAATTCTGCAAAAATCATGATCGTAACCTTTGTCTAAGAGTCTTAGACATACATTGAATTTACAGAATATACATCTTTTTTTTTTTTTTTCCTGAGGAAGATCAGCCCTGAGCTAACTGCTGCCAATCCTCCTCTTTTTGCTGAGGAAGGCTGGCCCTGAGCTAACATCTGTGCCCATGTTCCTCTGCTTTATAGGACGCCTGCCACAGCATGGCTTGACGGAGTGCCATGTCCGCACCCAGAATCCCAACCGGGGAACACTGGGCCGCCGAAGCGGAACATGCACACCTAACCGCTGCGCCACTCGGCCACCCCAGAATATACATCTGAAACTACTTTTTAGTATTTAGAATATTTTCAAATGATTTTCTAGAAGCCATTGGTTTTCCATCTACTCAATCCACTCACTCTTCTATCCTTCTACCTTCCCAAAAGGGGTAACTTCTACTTAATTTAATTTGACAATTATTAACATTCCGCATAATAGTTCCTACTAGCTTCAATGGGAGGTGCAATAGAAGCCCTAAGTTAACCCAGATACAAATCAAGGTTTTCTCTCTCACAAATATAACTCTGGTCCAAAACTCATGGACCATGCGCTAGGTCAAATCAATCCTCTAAGTCAAGTCAAAGTTGTTTTAAAATTGAAAAATACACATCAAGAAAACTTCAACTTTTATTTTCTCACCATTTTTAAAGAGCTCCTAATTCATCATGCTAGTACGTGACCTCTCCCAAAGCAATTACCGGCTTTTAGCAATTTAGACTGCTAAAGTCGAAGGCAAAGAACAAAGGGGAAAGGGGAATGAATATTCAGCTGGAATTGTGAAGTCTATGCATTTTACTGCTTAACAAACTAAGTAGTAAGTGAATTGATACTTGAATGAGATGGAATGACCCCCTCTAGCTAAGAGATTTCAAAAATAGTTATTTAATTTTTACTAAGGTGCTCCTCTTTTAAAGAGAAAATCTTTCACTAGAAGCCTCATTTACTCTCACTGTTTTAACTCTTTCTCTTATCTATAGACTGTGGCAATCTCACCCACTTCCATGGATCAGTTACTATGTTTATACTGCTGGTTCTCACATTTTTGCCTTTAGCCAGTTCTGTCTCCTGAATTGGTCACTTACGCACACAACTGTCTACTAGACATTTCTACTTGCTCTTTAACATCATTATTATGTATGGACTCTGACGCCTGAGTCTCCTTCTCTAGACCCTATCTTGGAGAACAGCACCAATGGCCAAACCTAGAAAACTGGGTGTCGTCCTTTGACCCTTCTCTCTTCCTTATCCATCCTATCAAATCACCCAGTCCCTTCTCAGTTCTATGTAATAAACATCTCTTAAACGTGTGCACTTTTCTTTATCCCAATTCCCAATATCCTAGTTTGGGCCAGTATCATGTCTCATTGTGATACTGGGAATCATCTTCAAGAAGTTTTGGTACCTCCTGTTCTAACTTGCTCAGTTGATCTTTATAGGAATTTAGACCCTTCAAAAAGATGTAACCTCAGGGGGAAAAAATGTAATATTTTACAGTTACTAGCACAAATAATCTATGATGGGTAACTGAATGAACAAGTTCCACTTTTGGTGTATCAGGGTTCTCCATAGAAACAGAATCCATCCATACATATATACATAGAGAGAGAGAGAAATTTCTTATAAGAAATTGGCTCATGTGATTATGGAGGCTGGCAAGTCCAAAATCTGCAGAGCCAAGGTCCCAGTTCAAGACTGAACGCTGGAATTTGCTGTAGAACAAGGAAAAGCCAATGTCCCAGTTCAAGGGTCATCAGGCAGGAAGAGTCAATGTTCCAAGGCCATCAGGAAGAAGAATACCCTTATTACTCAGGAGAGGGTCTGCCTTTTGTTCTATTCAACTGATTGAACAAGACCCATCACATTACAGAAGGCAATCTGCTTTACTCAATCTACCCATTTAATTGATAATCTCATCCAAAAACACTCACAGAAACATGCAGAATGTTTGACCAAATGTCTGGGTACTCTGTGGCCCAGTCAAGTTGACACATAAGCCATCACAAATGGGAAGAATAAATAAAATGATTAAGTCGAATATTAATGTCTAACCATGAGCTGGTGGCTAGGTTTAGTGCAGACAAGCATACTAATTTTGGTGTCACAGACACACAGGCAAATTATTTCATCTCAGCCTGTTTCCTATTCTGTAGATGGCAATAATATCGCTTTCTTCAAAGAGCTAATATGGTTACATGAACTAATGTTAATAAAGCTCCTAGTATAGTGCCTGACATATTTCATACTCAGAATTTTTGAAACCAAACATTTTTTAATGCTAAAACTTCCATCCTATTAACTTTAGCTTCTTGAGGCTTTTAAAAATTTACATCGGTCGGAACATTAAGTTTTCCTCTGAGGTTTTGTGTAGAGCTGGTTAATGAGCTACTAAGTTAAAAAAAAAAAATTCCTCAAATCTTTAAGAAAATGTTTATGCTTTGACCTCTTCCCCAACCTCTCCCAAGAAGCAGACCAAAAAGAAATATAAAAAGGGATGATTTTTTTAAAGCCACTCTTAAAAATAAGATGAACTTCTCTGTGGACCACACATGCAACAGAAACTGAAAGCAGAGCTGAGCTATGGGCCTACCCGACACTAGCAGCTCCGAGTTTTGGGACAGAGGAATAAACTAAAAATGTCCACAGAAGGCTCACCGCCTAAAACCAGGGGTTAACCTAAACTGACCGCAATTCAATAAAATTAGAAATTGGTAACATGTTTTTTCTTTTCTAACTTAAAAAAGTAGATGGGGTGGGGGAGGAAGTCACACACACAAAAATAATAGTACAGATCACATGATACAGCTAAAAAAAGGGAAGTTATAGAAAATCTTACCATGGGGTTAAGCAAATAGATCAAAAGAACAAAATAGAGAACTCAGAACCAGGCATTAATTGATACGGTAAGTGAATGACAGATGCAGCATTTGAAACAGCGGTACTTGGAGGAACAGCTACACACATACAAAAACAAACAAAAGATCCCCAAATCACACCATAAGCAAAAATAAATTCAGGTGGATTAAAACACCTAAATATTAAAAATAACATTTTTTAACTTTTAGAAAGACGTATAGGACAGTATCTTTATGACATTTCCTACACACGACCCAGAAAGCACTAAGAAATATTGGTAAAATTACATTAAAATTAAAAACCTTTATTCAAGGAGGCTCCATAATCAAATACAAGATAAACCACAGACTACAAAAGACAGCTGAGACACACACAACAGATCATTAGTTAGTATTCAAGATACATAATACCCACAAATCAATAAGGAAGAGACAAAACATAATAGAAAAATAGGCAAAAGATATGGCCTCAGAAATCACATTTCCTCAACATCCTGGTAGTTACACAATTCAGCACTATTCAACGCGGGAGACCGTACAAGGGCAGGAACACCAGGAGGCAGGAGACCAGTGGGCCCATCTGGAGGCCAGCTACCACACACACAAAATAGTATTTTGCAGGGCTTTGAAAACACGTGTATGTATTAAAAATATAAAAACACAAACTAGAATATACCCCCCCTCTAGGACAGTGGTTACCTCTAGGGAGAGAAGAAGCGGATGGGATCAAAGAGGTAAAAAAGCAAGCTTCAAACATATCCAACACTTACATACACACATAGATCTGAAGAAAAATATAGCCAAATGCTAACGTTTATTAAATCTGCATGGGGAACACGAGTGTTCATTAAATCATTCACCTTTCCTATTATGTTTGAAATATGGCAATAAAATGCTTAAAAATAATGAACCTAAAGAAACGGAAACAAAATTTGCTTTTAACAAGAATTTATTTTCATACATTTTAAAAATTACAATCTTCACAACACATGAAAAATATTTTTCTAATATCAAAATACACGTCTTTGGTATAGGAACATACTATAGGTTCTATCTTTAACTTAAAAAGATTAAGAACTATGACCTAACATGCTAAACAAAACTATTCTTTGCCCATCCATTTGTCCCCTGTCACAGCCCGTTTGTGGGACTTTAAAATATAGCTCTGTACACATCTCCATATCTACAAAGAATTAAGATGCCATATCAAAGATGAACAGAAGTTATACAGTAGAGAACTAGCTGGCTTAATCATTGACAAACCACTAAAAAAAAAGAAAAAGAGAGAGAGCAATGTAAGATATAGGACAAGTAAAATACAACATCGTCATTCAGGTCAAATAATATGAAAACAATCACATTATTTAAATTTGATGAATTAAAAACAAAGTAACGTCATTTTGTGTGAGTGTCTGTGTATGTGAGAGGAAGAATGGCCCTGAACTAACACCGTTTGCCAATTTTCCTCTTTTTGCTTGAGGAAGACTGTCCCTGAGCTAACATCCATGCCAAACTTCTCTATTTTGCATACAGGACTCCGCCAAAGCAAGGCTTGATAAGCAGTGTGTAGGTCCATGCCTGGGATCGGGGCGCACAAACCCCGGGGCCACTGAAGCAGAGCACGAGAACTTAACCACTACATAATCCGGCCAGCCCCCAAAGTAACTTCTTTACAAGTATTATATTTAGAATTTAGAATTACTACTTGCAAAGCTCCAAAAGTAACAGTACAGAGCCATAATTTTGATAAGCTGCTTTAAAGAGAGGAATCAAACATGTAACAATGTCAAATACAAGCAATACTATCTGTAAAAGCAATTAACCTTAGAAATAGGGGGGAAAATATGCATTTTTTTCATTTTCTGAAGTAAAAGCTTTTCTAAAAAGCATCATAGAAGGGCAAAAAATATTTATTATATTTTAAAAAGCTGCCATCAAAATTCAAATTGCTGTAAAAAAAGAGAACATTTTCCTTTAAGTCAGTGAGGTTCTCATTCAAATATTTTTTAGAGAAACAATTATAATCTTCATGGTAAAGAAAGGAAGGAAGGAAAAAATAGCTTTTAATTGTGTTGTCAACTCTTTTCTTCAACAAATATTTAGTGATTGCTATGGGACACTGTTCTGGGTGTTGGGGATAGAGAAATAAAGACACAATCATAGGTTCCGGGCAACTCAGCCTAATGGAGCTGGACCTAACATTGGTAACCTTCAAGTCACTTCCGTTGGTCCATAAAATCAAGCTCAACTTCAAACTCTGCCATTCCTGGCATCTTCTGGCACAGCAAATAGAATGATGTCTACCTAGTTTGCTACCTAACACTGTGGCATTATTAATATTATCTACTGATGAAATTAACTTTCATAAATTATTCTATGAAAGTTTAGAGGACACAAAGTATTTAAAGATAAACAAATACGGGCCAGCATCAAAAATAACATCAGTATTCTGCTTTCACAAAAGTGAAGAAAACCAAGAAAAATTTCATTCCGAGCATAGAGAACTGCTGGAGCTTATCCTACACATATGGGACATATGCAAAAATCATAAATGAAGAAGCATAAATTATTACACAGCCAAATCAGTTGTCAGGCTTCAAAGAATCATAGCCTTCTTTCAAGAGGTCCCGCCACGTTTTAAGGAAACGTGCATTTTCTGTACATTTGAAGGCAAGCTCTTCCAGTTGAGCTGATACTGCAGATGTGGCTTCAAGAAGTTTGGTTAATGAAAACGCTGCCTGAAATTTAAAAAAAAAAAAAAGTCAAACAAGAGAAGTTTATTTTTAAAATTTTCATCTCATTTTATAAATGGTCTAAAAATAGCTTAAAACCGAGAATCCAATGCCCAAGCATTTTTCCTCAAAAGTAAAAAATCTTCAAACTAAAACACTGGCTCTTTCTGAGAACTTAAGAAATTGTTTAATACAAAGTGAGCTTTAAGGAACAATGCATTATGTATGAGACATGCCAAGTATTTTTTTTCAATTGAAAATACACTGGATTCTCATTTAGTTCAACAAGACGACTTGGAGCCCTTGACACTAAGTACCAGAAGCACTGAAGGACTTCATCATATACAATCTTTACTATTATTTGGGTTACAAGCGGATTGTTCCACTAGTTTTACCTGTGAACTCTTTAGACCATGAAAAGGTATAGACCAAATAGACACTCTGAGCTGACAAACATCAACAAAATCAAAACACATGCAGAAAACATCCAACTCTTGATGGCAAACTCAATGAAATATTTTCTTCCTCTGTTATATAAAATAACCCTGTTCCAAGGTAACACATCAGCGCTCCACTCTATATATTCACTTGAAACCAGTCTTGTTCAGCAAAAAGAGAAGCTGTATCAGCACTTCAGTCATCCTTTACACAAAGAAATTCTTGACCAATGAGATAATCGAGTTCATTCTCCAGTTTCCAATCTGCACAGGAGGGTGTATTCCACAAAGTTCTCCCAGGAAGATTACACCCTACATCCCAATCACCTGACCCACCCAACAGTCCTTAAACACTGAAACTGTAACCTTCTCCGGCGTCTGTGTGTGCGTCCGCGCGTGCGCGCGCGCTTGTTTCTGGGAATTCTAGACTCAGCAGAAACCATCCATCGCTATGCATTTTAGCAAGCACAGGGAGGGGTCTTTGACTCAACCGTCAATGAAACCAATCTGGACTACAGGGGCCGTGACTAAATCCTCTAAACTGGGTCCAGCACAAAGCAAGCCTGACAATGGCATTGTCAGCTGGCTCTGGGCAGGTGGCCAACCAGAACAGCGGGCTCTTAAGTCCCGCGGAGAGAAATCACCGCCTGCTTCGAAGCACCAACAGACAGCAAGGGCGGCGGATGAGAGGGCAGACGGAGCCAGCACGCGTCCGCACAGCAGAGCTGCGTGGTTTCGGGTTACAGCGCATGACCGAAACCAGAAGGCGAGGCAAAAAGAAAACAGGGATGGGGCGGGTGGAGGCATAACCCCTAACTCCTCCATGCTAAATCTAAAGACGGAATCCTCAGGGCTCGGGGCAAGGGACCTTTGGTCGCCGACCCCCCCCCCCCCCCCCCCCCCGGCCTCTTGGGGGCCAAAGGCGAGACGCGCCAGCCAGGGTGCGTGCACCGCCTGTCCCTCCCTCCCTGGACCCGCCGCGGTCTGTCTCCAGACAGGTGCCGAGTGGGGACGAGGCCCCGGGACCAGTCGGGACACACTCACGTCTCCGATCTGCAGCTCCACCTCCTCCAGCGGGTCCACCGTTTGGCCGCTGCTCCTGCTCGGAACTGGCCAGCCCAAACTCACTGGGACGCCGGGGGAAGATGCTGAAGAGGCGTCTGAAGACGAAGGAGAGAAGGGAGGTGGCGGGGGCGGCGAAGAGACCCGCACCTCCTCGGGGTCTGCCATGGAGAAGGCCTGGGACGGGGGGACCGGACCTTAGCAGCCGAACCGACACCAACTATCTTTCAACCGCTCGCGCCCGAAGCCCGGAGGCCCCGCCTCTTCGTGAGCTTCTGCCCTAGACCGTGAAGACCTCTCCTTCTCTCGGGACAGCCAATCAGATGTAAGTCAATTCACCTCGGGCAGCTCACGGCTCCTGCGCAAAGCTCCAGTCAAGTTCAGAGGACACTTGAGCAGAAGACTACAACTCCCAGGATGCCGTACGCGTCGCTCGGCCTCCCACTACCATTTGCTGCGTGGGCGTCGCGCTGTGGGTTTGCGGGTCCCTCCTATGGCGCTCCGGCGCCAGGACCATACCTGGGTGGGAAGGCGGCACAGATCCGAACTCGCTGGTCGCGCTGGGGCTTGAAGTCCCTTTCTTTTTCTCCCATGGATACGTGACCCGGAAGCCTCTGCTGGCCATGGCGTCATGCGTGGCGCCGGCGCAGAGCGAGAGAGAGTCGGGAGCGCTGTGAAGACAGAGCGGTCGGCTGATCAGAGACGAACTTCAGTGGAGGTGATGGCGCCCCCCGCGGCCTAGAGGTCCAGAGCGTGCCGCGAGCTGCAGACAGTACGCCTCCCATTGTATCCGACGGAGACTCCTCGTTGCAGGGAACATGTTGCTGCCGCTAGCCAAGCTGTCCTGTCCGGGTGAGAGGGAACTCCAGGCGGGGATAAGTGGTCGAGGAGTTAGGGCGAAATGGGGAGGGCTACATATGAGGGCTGTACGCATCTCTCTCCTCTCTGTTCTCCTTTTCTCGACGTTCTCAGGCTAACCTGGGACAAAGATCACGCTGTCTGCGCCTGGTGGTGGACCCTAGATTTCTCCCCCTGGGACTGTCTCAATTGGAAGGATTGACAACTAGGCTAAAGGTCATGGGCAGAGGAAACTTGTCAACACGGCCCCCGGGTGGATTCCTGAACTGAATCTTCCCAAATCTTGGTCCTAACCCTCATCCCAAAGCTCAGGTGGGATCTGTTGCCTTTTCGGAAATGGATAAAGTAATCATTTGCAGTTTTTCTCCTTGGTCCTGACCTGACTTGCGTCTTTGCAACCATGCTAGTCCGTTCTTAAGAATTTGAAGTCTGATCTGTCACATCCCGATTAGCATTCGTATACTGCCCAACTCACCAGGGATTTTTGTACATTGTCTAAAATTAACTCTAGGGGTTATCGTGTTATGGGTGCTCCTAGAACCATCATGATGACTCGTGAAAATGCCTCATTACCTCCCCTTTCACTTTAAACACACACACACAAAAAACGGTTGAAGCAGTTGGATAGTGTTTTGTTTTACTTAAAAAAAAGCTTAAAATTCAAAAAAGTTCACTACAGGATCTTGAATTTTCTCACAACTGGCTTATTTTTTATCTTTAGTTTAAGTTAATTTTAGGTTATAGAATAAAAAAGTATACATATTGCAAATTCAAGGATATTCTTATTATGTAAGCTTAATGACAGAATTTTGTCAAATTTGGCCGCCATGTATTAAATAATTAGAATTCTGTGTAAGTTCCTGTGACTCATGCATGTATTACTACACCTAATGTGTAGGTAGACTTTATGTTTTTTGGGATATCATAGCAGTCAGATGCTATCTGCCCTACTGTCTAATTTAGTTGAATTCATTCTTGGGCCAAGTGCTAATCAAATGCCACCAAAATTACCATTTCGATTTTCCTTGGATGCTTAAATCGTTGCCATTTTCATAACCTAGTGTTAGCACTACTGGCAAGAAGGAGTTGGACACAAATACGCCGTCAGTGTGACTTTAATGTGGTGATGTTATGAGTTCAATGGACTTTTTGACCTGACTTCTCTACCAAAATACAGCCAAGGTCCCTAAGTGTACATATCTCGTGAATGAAATGTCAGATTTGTTTTCAGAAAAGGGGTAAAGGTTGTGACTTGTTTTTTACTCCCTAGAGGAAATAAAACTGCCCAGTTCCAAATATTCTTGAGAAAATCACTAGCTGTATAAGCAAAAGAATGACACATTTGTCTGATACCAAGTCATCAGTTTTCAGAAGCAAATGTTAACGTCCATACACTAGACTACAATGCGTCATAAAACAAGTATTTTTAATATCTTTTAATCATAAATAATATAAATAATGAACATTCTTTTGAATGATGATAGTACTACATTTCAACTCTGAAACTGAGCTCTCCTATAATATCTTTCTTTATGTATCTTATATACATTTTTTCAGGATTTAGGATAGGTGAAGAGTTATCTAAGGTTTAAAAAAATTATTCCCAATAATATAGTTTTTAATATGCATTTGCAAGTACAGAAAATTAGTTTCCTTACCACTTGTTAGAAAAAGTGATTGTCAAAAACAGATTTTTAGTGTTTCAAAGGCTTTAGAGTTCAGCCACTCCAAATCTCTTCCCCTCCTGCATTCCTATAATCTTTATTGATTGTCTGATGTCAGGGGGTTTTTTTTAATCATTTTATTGGAAAGAAACATGAAAATATAGTAGTTTTGCAATTGAGTGCTAAAGAATAAAACTAGTTAGCCTATGCTAGGCCGTCATCTCTCCATTTAATCAGAAAAGAAAGAGACAGAGAAAACAACTTGTTTTAACCACAGCTCAGGTTTTGTTATTTCAGACGTCATTTCAGATCCACTTGTAGTCTCAGAACTTAACTGATGTTGGAAGGATTGAGGCTGAGCTTGGCTGGGATCATCTGAATTTCTGTTTATCTACTGTGAATGGGGACTGTAGCTGCCCCACGTTTCTCGTAAGGTCATTAAGGATAAGATGTGGTATTAAAATTGAAAATTCTTAACTGTTCAGTATGTCCATGAAAATGTAAATTTTATTATATGTTCCAAATCCATGCAAAAGTCTTTGTTGATCTTTACTATTTATTTATTATAGTCCATATTTAGAAACTTGTTAATTTGCAGATAGATGCTTCATTATAAGAGACCAGTTAAAAACTAGGAAAGGCCTCATTATTATTATTGCTCTATAACCCAGGAATTAGTTTTAGGAAATTAACCCAGATTTGCAGGTTCCTGGATGACAGTTGAAATTGTAACTAGGAAGGTACCTATCCAGTTAACAAATATGTATTAGCAGTGTGCTTTATGTTAAGACATATACTACATCCTACACCATAGTATTTCCAAGGCAAAGACTGACCATAAAATTTAGAGCCGATGGGGTGGGAAGAGTTAAATAACTTGCTGAAGGTTATGTTGCTATTAATGTATTCAGACACAAAGTAGACGGACTCCAAAGCCTGGGCACTTAACCACTGCCTTTTTCCATGTTGCCTTTTTTGTTTGTTTGTTTTGTTTTTAATTAATAAACTTTAAAATTTTTTTGGCAGTTTTAGGTTTAAAGAAAAATTGAGCAGAAGATACATAGTTTGCATTTAACTTCCCCCATTCCCCATTAACACCTTGCATTGGTGTGGTACATTTGTTACAGTTGGTGAGCCAGTGTTGGTACATGATTGTTAAAGTCTAGAGTTTACGTTAGAGTTCACTCTTGGTGTTGCACATTCCATGGGTTTTGACAGATGTATAATGACTTTAATTACATTAGCACACAGAATAGTTTCATTGCCCCTCATATCTCCTGTATTCCACTTATTCGTCCCTTCCTCTCTCTTCCTGAGCTCCTGGCAGGCAACCATTGATCTTTTCACTGTCTCTATAGTTTTGCCTTTTCCAGAATGTCACAGTTGTAATCACACAGTATGTTGCCTTTTCAGATTGTCTTCTTTCGCTTAGTAATATGCACTTAAGTTTCCTCCATGTCTTTTCATGGCTAATAGTTTGTTTCTCTGTAGTGCTGAATAATATTCCATTGTATGAATACACCAGTCTGTTTATCCATTTACCTATTGAAGGACATCTTAGGTTTTGATAATAATGAATGAAGCTGCTATAAACATTCATGTGAAGGGTTTTTTAAAAAAATCTTGGATATTTTTTCTTTTTATTTTATAGTGATAAGAACACAACATGAGATATACCCTCTTGACAAATGTTTAAATGTACAATACACTATTATTGACCATAGGTACAATTTTGTACAGCAGATCTCCAGAGCTTATCATGCTTGACTGCAGGTTTTTGTGTGGACATTAATTTTTAATCATTTGGGTAAATACTAGAGAATCCAATTGCTGGATCATATGTTAAGAGTATGTTTAGCTTTGTAAGAAACTGCCAAACTTTCTTCCAAAGGGGCTGTGCCATTTTGCCCTTCCACCAGCAGTGAATGAGAGTTCCTGTTGCTCCATATCCTTGTCGACATTTGATGTTGTCAGTGTTTTGGATTTTGCCATTCTAATAGGTGTGTAGTGGTATCTCTTTGTTTTAATTTGCAAGTCCCTAATGACGTAAGATGTTCAGAATCTTTTCATAGGCGTATTTTCCATCTGTATATCTTCTTTGATAAGGTGTCTGTCCAGATCTTTGGCCTGTTTTTTAGGTGGTTTGTTTTTTTGTTGAGTTTTGAGTTCTTTCTATATTTTGGATACCAGCCCTTTATCAGCTATGTGTTTTGCAAATATTTTCTCCCAGTCTGTTGCTTATCTTTTTATTCCCTCATATTGGCCTTTTAATGTTTCTCATTTATAGCTCTAGCTTGCCTTTTCATGGAGAATGACACTGAAAACGCATTAGCTTGTTTTATAATACCATGGGTCAATCATAAATGAGTACCCTAATGAAAGAGACTATAAAAAGAACTATCTAATATTCAATCAACAAATATTTATACCTATATAGGCCAACACTGGGATTTAGCATACAGCAAGGAAAAACCAAATACTTTAGGAGTATGCTGTCTACTGGGGAATACAGACAACTAAATGGGACTTTGATGTTTATGTCATTTTTTTGGTCATATAGTCATAAATGGTCATAATGGTCATAAATTTTAGTCAAATGATTTTATGATTTTTGAGATATTTGCCATACTCAGAAAAACCTTTTCAAATCCAAGATTCTAAAAAAGGTTGCCAGTGTTTTCCCTGTAATCTTTTGTGTGTGTGTAATTGTAAATGTTCTTTTTTTAGTAACAGTTTTATTGAGATATAAGTCACATACCATACAATTCACACCATCTAAAGTGTCCATTTTAACTGCTTTTACTGTATTCACAGAGTTGTGCAACCATCACCACAATCTATTTTAGAATATTTTCAGCACCCCAAAAAGAAACCTCATACCCATTAGTAGTCACTCCCCAACCCCTCCAGCCCTAGGTAACAACTAATCTACTTTCTGTCTCTATTCTTGATATTTCATATAGATGGAATATTTCGTATACATGAAATCATGTCTATTCTAGGTAGCTCATATATGTGGAATCATGTAATATGTGGTCTTTGTGGCTGGCTTCTTTCACTTAGCATAATGTTTTAAAGTTTCATCCATGTTATAGCATATATCACTACTTAATTTCTTTTTATTGCAGAATAATATTCCATTGTATGGATATATCACTTTTTAATTATTCACTCACTAATAGACATTTGGGTTGTTTCCACTTTCTGGCTGTTATGAATAACGTAGCTATGAACATCGTGTACAAGTTTTTGTGTGGACATAGGTTTTCATTTATCCTATGAGCGAGTCACGTGGAAACTCTATGTGTAACATTTTGAGGAACTGCCAGACTGTTTACCAAAGTGGCTGTACTATTTTACATTCCCACCAGCAGTGTGTGAGGGTTCCAATATCTCCACATGCTGGTCAACACTTGTTATTATCTGTACTATTGATTATAGCCATCCTAGTGGATATAAAGTGATATCTCCCTTGTGGTTTTAATTTGTATTTCTCTGACGGTTAGTGATGTTGAGCATCTTTTCATGCACTTATTGGCTATTTGTATATCTCCTTTGGAGAAATGTCTATTCAGATCTTTTGCCTGTTTTTTAATTTGGTTGGTTGTCTTTTTATTATTAGAAATGAGTTCTATCTAGTGGTAGATACAGGTCCTTTATCAGATATACAATTTGCAAATGTTTTCTCCCATTCCATGGGTTATCTTTTCACTTTCTTGATAGTATCCTTTGAAGCACAAAAGATTTTAATTTTGATGAAATACAGTTTATTTTCTCTTTTGGTGTCATAGCTAAGAAGCCATTGCGTAAGCCAAGGTCACAAAGATTCACACCCATGTGTTTTTTTGAAAAATTTTATAGTTTTACCTCTTACCTTTAGGTCTTTGGTCCCTTTTGAGTTAACTTTTATATTACCATAATCTTTATTTTTTAACTTTATTTTGAAATAATTTTAGACTTATGGAAGAGTTGCAAAGATAGCACAGAGAGTCCCCATATACCTTCCACCCAGCTTAACTTCTTACATAACCATGGTATAATTATCAAAACTAAGAAATTAACATTGATGCAATACCATTAGTTAAACTACAGATTTATTCATACTTCCTTTTTCTGTTCCAGTATCCAATCCAAGGCACCACATTGCTTTTAGCTCTCATGCCTCCTTAGTCTACTTCAGTGTGACATTTCCTCTGTCTTGTCTTGTCTCTCATGACCTTCACACTTTAGATGTGTACTAGCCAGGCATTTTGTAGAATGTCCCTCAATCTGAGTTTGTCTCACGATTTCTCATGATTCGACTGAGGTTATAGATTTGGGGGTTATAGATTTGTGAAGAGCCCTGCTCATTACATCATATGAGGGAATATGTGATACTAACATGTCTTATTGCTGGTAATGTTAAACATGATCACTTAGTTAAAGTGTCTGTCATATTTCTCCACTCTAAAGTTAATATTTTTCCCCTTCCGTACTCTACTTATTGGAAGCTAGTCACAAGTCCAGCCTACACTCAAAAGCAGGAGAATCAAATTATTTGTGGATCACCATAACCTTATGTACTCTGACTGTCTTTGTTAAAAATCATTGACCAAATGAAATTCATTTTGATATAAGGAGAGAAGTATGCTTTTTTCCAAATGACTTTCTACCTATCTCTGCACCATTTAATGAGTAACCATCTCTTCTCCTTGATTTGAAATAGCATTTTTATTCTATTCCAGATCCTTATGTGTATTCTGTCTATTTCTGAACTCTTTATTCTGTTCATTTGATTATTCTATTCTTCTCCTGTAACAGACTTTTAATTATTATAGCTCTAAGTATAAGATTTTGTATCTGTCAGGGCTAGGGAGGATTCTCTGTCCTTTTTTCATGATGGAAAGGCTTATCGAGAATAGTACTAGAGAAGGGTACCAAAAATTGAAGATATAGGAGGAAGTGAGGGTATCAGATGGAGGAATGTCCCTAAGAAGATGAGAGGGATAAGCCTCATCATCCATGTGGGAGGATTAATCTAAGTGAGGAGAAGAGATGCATCTTCTATTATAACCTGAGAGAATGAACAAAGGATGGACACAAATACACATTACATTAGAGGTTGTTGCCGAAGAACTGAGAAAGTTCGCCACTAGTTGCTTCTGTCTTTCTATGAGGTTTGATGTGCTAGGGTATCTGCTCCAGGTGAGGATCGGGGGAGGTAGAGGTGAAGGTTTAAGGACAACAGAGGTTTAATGAACAGTCTTGCAGATAAATCTTTGCACACTTTTATTTTCATAAAATGCTATCTACTAACTCAAAGAATATATAATTTTTAAGCTCTCAGAAGATATTGCCATTTGGGAGAGTCAACATAATTTAAAAAGAAGCTGACCATAAAACCCAGTTTGTCCACCTTGTCGCAGGGTAATCATTAACACTGCCCCTTATTACTCTCAAAACTATCCAGTTTGGATAATAAATTATATAGTCATCCTGCTTAGAGGTTAGGCTTGACATAAGCTAACTTGAATAAATTTGTTTATTAGATACTTTAAAAATATAATTTGAAAACATTGCTTTATGAGAAAAAGTTAACTGAATTGTTCATCTAGGAGAGTACAATCTTTTTCAGTTTATGTCACAACTAATGGATGGCTCTACAGCACAGAAGTAACTATTCACTGAATGTCTGCAGTGTTGATATTGTCAGAATATGAACAAGTTTCCAAATGTATTTCCAAAGGCATCACGTGGAATCATGCAATTTCAGGTCAAGAAGGTACCTTAGAGATCATCTAGTGACTTTTTTCTTTTTTGGATGAGGAAACTGAAATCTAGAGAGGTTCAGTGATTTGTTTAAGGTCTTAAGGCTAATTAATAGAAAACTGACCAGAAACCAGATCTGATCCCCAATCCTAGATTTTTTTTCTTTTAAAAAAATGTTCTTAGGGCCGACCCGGTGGCGCAGCAGTTAGTGCACACATTCCACTTTGGTGGCCTGGGGTTCGCCAGTTCGGATCCCAGGTGTGGACCTACCCACCACTTGGCAAGCCATGCTGTGGCAGGCATCCCGCATATAAAGTGGAGGAAGATGAGCATGGATGTTAGCTCAGGGCCAGTCTTCCTCAGCAAAAAGAAGAGGATTGGTGGCAGATTTTAGCTCAGGGCTAATCTTCCTAAAAAAAAAAAAAATTTCAGTCTATTCCTGAGGAAAACTAGTTGAAAACAATAATAATCATGTTCATAATTTTTGTGCAGCATATCAGTGCTTTCATGCCTTAAAAATTAAGAAAGATTATCTACCTCTGTGTGCTACAAGATGGTCTTCAACTTCTGTTGTACCTCGAATTACTACCCATTATACTGTTTGTCCTCGGGATAAGGACAAGCGATGGGAAGGTAAGAATTTGTGTAGAATTGTTGAGACTTTTCTAGATACTTTGTATCATTTTGTGGAGGGAAATATATTTTTCACGATAGTATAAAATCATCTAATAATATTTTATATTTTTTACCAAATCTATTACATATTAATATTTACATAAGCAAATATTTGCTAAATTTATAATAATCTCAAAGCAAAGACAAAGTTGGTTTATGGAAGCTAAAATAAGATATGCGCTGGAACAGAACCTAAGAGAACATCCAACTAATACAATAATATACTTTGTATGATTCTCATGCAAAGCAGAGGTGCAAGTTCTGCAAATAGTGCTCTAAAGCATATACGTATTTGTACCTAGCATGTGATTTTATCAGGTCGTATTCACCCCAGAATTTTTACGTATTTTTTTAACCATGTTTTTCCTCCCAGGAGTCAACATGGAGAGGTTCGCGGAAGAAGCAGATGTAGTAATAGTGGGTGCAGGCCCTGCAGGGCTCTCTGCAGCTATTCGTCTAAAGCAGTTGGCTACTAAACAGGAAAAGGACATCCGTGTGTGTCTAGTGGAGAAGGCTGCTCAGATAGGAGCTCATACTCTCTCAGGGGCTTGCCTTGATCCATGTGGTTTTGAAGAACTGTTCCCAGACTGGAAAGAGAAGGGAGTATGAAAAATTGTTCTTTATACAAAGTCTAATCTTTACTCTCTCTGTTTCCAAATTACCGAAACAAGGAAAACCCTTTTCATGTAATTCTCTCTCTTAAAGGTAATTAGAGACTTTTTTAATTTAAAAAGGGCTAAAAAAGATTAAATCCTATCAAATATAGTTATAATTTTAAGATATTAACTCATATTTCTATATAATGCCTTCTACATGTTGTATTTATGTGCTGGATTTATAAGAAGGCATTATCTTGAGAAGCCCTTTGAATATTTGTACCAAATAAAATACAGCATTTTGATTTTGAAGGTATTTCCTAACTTATTCCATAGGTGTTTATATCATTATTCTTAATAAAGTGTTATATAAAATTTCCTGGCATTGCGATATGTAAAACCAAAATGGATAATCTAATTTAATTTTCTAAAGAAATAATTTAATATGGCCTCCCATAACCTAAGCAGAAAAGGCACTGGTATGATATGCAGAGGACCAAATGCTAGTTTTACTGCTCTCATAATTTGTATGACCTTGGTCAAAAATCTCACACTCTGTATATTTCAGTTTTTTCTTTTTTTAAAATGGGTTATATTACACCTGTCCTATCTTCAAGGTTGGAGTATTCACTGTCTGTGAATATATGTTGTAAGGGGCAAAAAATTATGTAACTATCTTCTGTATTCTTTCCAAATGGAGTAAATTGAATTCCAAAAATTTCATCTATGCTTTTGTTTCTAAAATATCATACTCCTTTAAGCTAGAAATAATTTAATTGTGCCTAACTAACTTTCTCTTTTAATATGTCAGAAATAGGTATCATGGAATTATTATTGTCATAATATCAGTTCTAATAGAAAAAGTTTTTCAAATCAAAGCCCTATATAGGCAGATACAGTCCATTACACACATGTTAATTGTCTTTATCCAAGGGAAAATAAAACTTGTCTTATGTTTTCCTCGAGCAGGAAGTTACAATTTGAGGGAGGGACCTAGGCTAAACTCCCAGAGAGACAAGGAGACAGGGTGCCATCCTCCTTGATGTTCACATTTCAAAGATGTCTCCAGTGCCCTCAAGAGAGACATTCCTGGGGAACAAAACTGGCTTATTTAGCTTTTTAAAAGATTCCCATACATCTAATCATGACAGATAAAAACTAGACTTTTGGTGGTGAGCACAATGCAGTCTATACAGAAACTGATATATAATAGTGTACACCTGAAATTACACAATGTTATAAACCACTATGACCTCAATAAAATAATTTAAAAATAACTCCCATACCTCTCAAAGAGACAAAGAAAGGATTTACAGTTCCAAATTTTCTAAAGGAAATGTTGAAAGAAAAGTGAGGGGAGTAGTTCCCTTACCCTTTGATACAGTTTTTTTATTATTTGTATTTAACCTTACAAATATGGACTAAAACGTTTTTCTTTTCTTTCCTTCTTTTGTTTTTAGGCTCCACTTAACACTCCTGTAACAGAAGACAGATTTGGAATTTTAACAGAGAAATACAGAATTCCTGTGCCAATTCTTCCAGGTAAGGTACCATAAATATTCGTAGAATCATGGTATTCCACAGCCAGAAAGAACTATATTTCATCTGGTGAAATCCCTTCCTCTTACAGATGAGAAAACTGAGGCCTAGAGATTTGAAGAACTTACCCAAAGTTATGCAGCTAGCTTGTGGGAAAGCAGAACTAAAGCCAGTTCTTTTATCTTCCAGTCTAGAAGATTTGAGATAGCCTTGTAAGCCAACAAGGAATTTTTAATTTAGTTCTGTAATGTTGTTTTTAGTTGAATAATTAGAACTTTAGACCAAAATTGTGGAAAATAAATTGAAATTTTGGCTATAAGATAATGTGTATACTTATGCAGAAATTATACATTGATTTGAATTTTTAAACTAAATGTTTATGTTTTTGAGATTTTTTATCAATAAAAAGTCAGATTTATAAATTAAGCATATATTTGTAGGTCTTCCAATGAATAATCATGGCAATTACATTGTGCGCTTGGGACATTTAGTAAGCTGGATGGGAGAGCAAGCAGAATCCCTTGGTGTTGAAGTTTACCCTGGTTACGCTGCTGCTGAGGTTTGTAAATTTTTGTTTTTAATATTTATAGGAAGTCACCTGTTTTTCTTTTGAATATAAACCAAGAATGGTACAGAGATAAATAAATATTTTAGAAAGGCCATAGGATTTTAGAATTGCAAAGTTAGAAGGAATCTTGAAAAGATTAATCCAAAGACAACTTGAATTCCTTGTATGGTACCCACATCAGGTGACTGTCCAGTCTATGATTGAACACTGTCCGGGATCGAAAATTCTCTGTCTGATGTTTGAACTGTTGGTAGTACTCTCCTCCTTCTATTGAACAGAAATTTATCTACAGTTTTATACTATACAGAACAAACCTAAGCCCTCTTCCAAGGACAACTGTCCACTTAAAATTATGCCCTGCTCTCTCTCTTCCCCACCTTCACTCTGGAGTTTTTCTTTCCCAGGTTAAATATTCTCAATTCTTTCAACCATCGCGTTACATAGTTTGAGTTCCTCCAGTATTCTCATCGTCCTCCTCTGAATGCGTTCCATTTTTATCCCCTTTATAAAGTGGCACCCAGAATGAATAAACTACTTCAAGCCTAGAGTAGAACAGGGCTATTACCTTCGTTAGTCTAGAAACTGTCCATTAATTCTCTCACAATAACTTCTGGCAACTGTATCACGCTGTTGGTTCTCATTAAGTATTATTGGGGAAATTAATAAAAATAAAATCTCCTGTCAACCCAGAAAAATAACCTCTACAAAATATTAAAAAATAATAGTGATAAAAGTTTTCTTATTGAATTAACATTAAACCAAGACTGCAATGCAAATTGCAGGCAATCTGGTAAGGAGATTGCCAAGAAAGAAATCGCACCCTTTTACATAGCCAGGCAGATAGCATCCGTTACATACCTCTTAACTGTCTTTATCCAATGGAATAATAAGACTTCTTGTTTCTGTTTGACAGCAAGAAGTTAGAGGTTGGAGCCAAGCACCTAGCCCAGATTCCCACAGAGATGGGGAGACAGGATGTCTTCCTCCTTGATGTTCACATTCCAAAGATGTCTCCAAGGCCCCCAAGAAACACGTTTCTGGGATGCAGATTCTAGCAAGAATCTTATTTTGCTTTTAAAAAGATTCCCATATATCTCAGAGACAGAAAAAGAGTTCATAGTTAAAAGTTTTCCAGGGGGCCGAGCCCCATGGCCAAGTGGTTAAAGTTCCATGCACTCCACTTCGGTGGCCCAGAGTTTGCAGGTTTGGATCCTGGGTGCAGACCTACTCCTCTCATCAGCCATGTTTTGGAGGCATCCCAAGTACAAAGTAGGGGAAGATTGGCACAGATGTTAGCTCAGGGCTGTCTTGCTCAAGCAAAAAAAAGCAAAGAGGAGGATTGGCAACAGATGTTAGCAGAGCCAATCTTCTTCACCAAAAAAAAAAGTTTTCTAAAAGAAATGCTGAAAGAACCTTGAAGGGAGGGAGAGTTATCTTGTTTTTGTTACCAGGGAAAATTCAAAAATTTTTGTTTTTACCCTTACAGTAATTTTTTTTTTTTTAGATTGGCACCTGAGCTAACATCTATTGCCAATCTTCTTTTTCTTTTCTCTTTTCCTTCTCCCCAAAGCCCCCAAGTACTTAGTTGTATATTCTAGTTGTAGGTCCTTCTGGTTGTGCTGTGTGGGATGCTGCCTCAGCATGGCTTGATGAGCAGTGCCATGTCTGCACCCAGGATCTGAACCAGCAAAATCCTGGGCCACCGAAGCAGAGCACATGAACTTAACCACTCGGCCTTGGGGCCAACCCCACCCTCACAGTATTGGGTTAGAAAAAATAACCCAATCTTTCCTTCCTCTAAATTTATATTTATTATAAACCACAGTATCACAAGTATGTAAGTCAAATAAAACATATTTTTATGGTACTTGCTATATTATACTTGCTGTTACTCATTTCTGTTTTCCCAGCCCATACATATGCATTTGGTTTTTGGACCCAAATATGGAATCATTGTCAAAGTCACAAGTTGGTGGTTGTGGAATCCATGATCTTTCACTTTTGGAGTACACACACACACACACTCACACTTACAGTCTCTTACACCTCTCCTCTTTTTCCTCCGTTCCTTAAAGATCATTTTCAATAGATTAACCAGGTTTTGGCAGGTTTTTTGGTACTCTGAACCAGACTTCAGGTCTAGTTCATAGCCACATTATACTGTTGATTCGTTTTAGGGTCTCAAAACGTTTATCTCTTTTTTTTCATACTTGTTGCTGCTAATCCTTGTTTTCCTTTGCACTCCCTCACTTTCGTGTAGTCTGTTGTGTGATTCCAGTGTGCATTTTGTACTTTCCTATCCAAAGAGCATTTTCCTCCAGAGAGGAATCAGAAACCAAGTAAGCGTTACAGATTTATTGTTATTTCTCATCCTCAGAGTTATACTTTTGACCCATTTTCCCCATTTCCTCCTTGCTCCAAAAATAAATCACCTTTGCTCTGTCTTCAGCCACTCTCTGTTTTGTTTTGTTTTGTTTTCTTTAATTTTTGGTCTTAACTCATTTGGGATAGAGGCTTTGCTGACGTTCTTTCTTCTCTGTCCACCCACCCAGCTGTTCTTTATTTGTGATAGGCCCTGATCACAGGTTCTGTACACCTTTGCTTTGGTATCTGAACTCTTTAGAGCACTCCTTGTTTAACTTTACTGGTTTCTGTAGTAACCTCCTTAGTCTTTCTCAACAAGGTTGTGGCATGTCTTTCCTTTCCAACTGTTTAACCTGTGTTCTTTTGTACTCTAGAAGTCTCTTAAAAAACACACTCTGTTTTACCTGAACATTTTAAAGCCTGTATTTCTATCGTCTAGAGAACATGTTCACTTTCTAAAAAATCTAAAGCTATTTATTGTTTCTTTTTAAGGTGATTATGAATTCTAAGGTGATAACAAATATGTTTTCATTTTAGGTCCTTTTTCATGAAGATGGTAGTGTAAAAGGAGTTGCCACTAACGATGTAGGGATACAAAAGGATGGAGCACCAAAGGTAAATGTTTTAATAGTTATCTGCTTAACAAACTGGCTAATAAAAACAAGAAAGAATCAACTTAAACTCAATAATTAAGTCTTACTACAAACTGTACATCTATTAAGTGTATTTTAGAATGTAATTGTTAATGGGAAATTTTTCTCTTAATGTTTAAAAAATATAGAAGCATCTTTGAACTAAACAGATTTAAGCAAGTAAATATAACATGTTTAAGAAAGTTAATTTAAAAGATAAAAACATGACTCATACCAATATAAAACAAACACCTTTCAAAGATTTTATTTCACTTATTAATTAATGAGAGAATCAGTAAGATGTTACAACAGGTTCTGAATGAAAAAACATACACCTATGTAGGTCATCAATCATTGCCACCGACATTGCCACTTCTACAATTTTAATTTCTATGAATAGGAATTATTTGCGTTACTATCAGTAATACTGAGTCTCTGACCTGATAGGCCCTCAGTAAGTACTTGTTAACTCAGAGTTCCCCTCCTCTCTACCATTCTTGAACAGATTTGGGAATCTATTCTAGAATCTCCTCCAGCACATCTTCCTGCTTCTCACTACTTCCTGCTTAGGAAGCAAGTGGCAAAGCTTTTGCGTCTTACCTTCTACTTTATTGTTCCTTCTGGTGGTTTGATTGGCTCCATCAGATTCGCATGAGGTCTTGGGACTCAGCCTGTCCTATAGTAGAGCCCAAGAAGCTGTTTAAACGGCCCTAGGGATTCTGGTGCATAGTCAGGTTTGCAAAAAATCTCTTACTGCTTCTCATAATGATAAAGAATAGGGGCCAACCCGGTGGCATAGTGGTTAAGTTTGTGCAGCCTGGGGTTCGTGGCTTTATATCCCAGGCAAAGACCTACACATTGCTCATCAAGCCATGCTGTGGTGGCATCCCACATACAAAATAGAGGAAGATTGGCACAGATGTTAGCTCAGGGACAGTCTTCCTCAAGAAAAAGAAGAAAATTGGCAGCAATGTTAGCACAGAGCCAATCTTCCTCACCAAAAAGAAAGAAAGAATATTGTTTTTCCTGTATCCTTTCCTAAGTTATGATTATTCTTTTCTATATTGTGATAATTTAATTATAAAATGTTTTATTCTTTTAAAATTTTTATATGTAATGTTAGAAAATTTAAGCACACAGATTCTGATATTTCATTTTTTGTGTCTTCTCATGATATTTGTTCAAATATATATTTTTTGTTCTGTGCTCTGTATTTGTAAAAATATATTTTAAATATTGTATTTATTTAGATATAAAAGCATAGAAGAGTACAGTGAAGTCTTAGTAATTTGAGCTCCAAAGTCTAAATTTTTTTTTTTTTAAAGATTTTATTTTTTTTTTTCCTTTTTCTCCCCAAAGCCCCCCAGTACATAGTTGTATATTCTTCGTTGTGGGTCCTTCTAGTTGTGGCATATGGGACGCTGTCTCAGCGTGGTTTGATGAGCAGTGCCATGTCCGCGCCCAGGATTCGAACCAACAAAACACTGGGCCGCCTGCAGCGGAGTGCGCGAACTTAACCACTCGACCACGGGGCCAGCCCCTCCAAAGCCTAAATTTTTAAAATAATTATTTTAGTGCCACAAGTTTGGACTGGGGAGAACCAAGGATTCTGTTTACTCTTCTGTTCCATGCTCTATTTAACCCTCCATAGTTAGGCTTTCTTACTGCCGTTTCTCTGAAACATCTCTCGTCACAGTCACAAATACTGCCACCTTGCCAAACCAGTATAGTCTGTTCTCTGTCTTGTCTTACTTTTTTTTTTTCCTTAAAGATTGGCACCTGAGCTAACAAGTGTTGCCAATCTTCTTTTTTTTTTTTTCTGCTTTATCTCCTCAAACCCCCACATACATAGTTGTATATGTTAGTTGCAGGTCCTTCTAGTTGTGGGATGTGGGACGCCACTTCAACGTGGCCTGAGGAGCGGTGCCATGTCCGCGCCCAGAATCCGAACCCTGGGCCGCCGCAACAGAGCGCGTGAACTTAACCACTCGGCCACGGAGCCAGCCCTCTGTCTTGTCTTACTTGACCTCCTGGTGGGCAGCACTGACGCTTGAATAACTTCTTCCTTCTTGAAACACTTTCTTGCCTTGGCTCTTCACACCACCTTCTCTTGGTGTTACCAAACCAAAGTGAGTTCGCTTCCTCACAAGTTAAAATCAGATTCTCCACCGGAAGTAGTTATCAAACAAAGTATATTTGCAGCAAATAGAGACCATGCGGAACAGTTTCCAAAATCATGGCTCTCCCTGAGCTCAGGACAGCAGGGGCCTTTTATTTTGGATGGGGAGTGACTATTCAACAGGGAGAGGTGGGTATTCGCTTGCACTGGAAAACATGCTTCCACGTTCATTGCCAGTTATGGTAATAAGGCCTAAGCTCCTCCTGGAGTGGGAGATCTTAGCATTAAAAACAAGGCAAAGGTCATCTCTTGGGCATTTTTCTGCCCATCTCCAGAGCACGGCTCTTGTGGTAGGGTTTAGATTGGTTCACGGTGGTTGGTGATTGCATCTCTTAACATAACAAAAAGAAAAAGAAAACAATTTGGAAAAACAATTAGATGCTTCTGAAACCTCTCTTGAGTCCCTCGGGGGCAATTAGTGGGTGACATTGGTTTTCCTTTTGTTTCACTGGCCCGTCCTGTCACCTTTGCTTGCTTTTCCATGTCCTCCTGTCCTCTGTTGAGGCTCTAGGTCTCAGTGTTGAGTCCTCTATCTGCATTTTCTCCATAGTGACCAGATCCGGTCACATGGCTTTAACACCTCTTCCCTGAGTCCCAGAATCATATGTCCTACTGCTTATTCCGTGGTTCTGCTCATTTCTAAGAGGATCTGATTGTAAGTTTCAGAGGGTAAGAAACTTGCCCAAGGTCTGACTCTGTTAAGTATTGGGACTGGGATTTGAATAGTACAGGCACTGTAGCTCCAGGGCCTTTCCTTGAACACTAAGGGGCATGTTGCCTCTAAGAGGAAACCTCTAAGCGGTACTGGGAAAACTCTATGTCCATCTGCAAACAGTAGATTTAAACCTTCATTTTTTAAAAAATTCTGATTATTTCTTAAAACAATAAAAAAATCAGAAAGAAATGTAGATTCGTACAATCTAGGGGTAGGGTAAGCCATCCTACTGAGGAAGAAAAAGCTATAAGAGATAGAGGCTTTTTAACTATATAAAAATTAAATACTTCTGTATACCAAAAGAAACACTATAAAGTCTGTGGATAAACAGTAGATTGGGGGGAAAAATGTTTGACCATTTATAATATCAAAGAGCATTTATTAGGGGCCAGCCCCGTGGCCGAGTGGTTAAGTTCACACGCTCCGCTTCAGTGGCCCAGGGTTTCGCTAGTTCAAATCCTGAGTGCAGACGTGGCACTACTCGTCAAGCCATGCTGAGGCGGCGTCCCACATGCCACAACTAGAAGGACCCACAACTAAAAATACACAACTATGTACTGGGGGGCTTTGGGAGAAAAAGGAAAACTAAAATCTTTAAAAAAAAGGAGTACTTATTAATTGATGAGAGAAAAAGACAACATGTTAGGAAAATGGGCAGAATCGAAAGAATTGACGGTTCACAGAAGGGCCAATCCAGGTGGTCACTAATCGTAAGGAAAGACTCTTAAATACCCTTCTTCAGAATCCACAGCTTAAATGTAATTTCTTTAAACAGGCCTTTTCTCTCCACTCAATCCAGAATTGCTCCCTTCTACTATTCTCTCTCGTAGCAGCCTGTGCTTTCTTTCATAGCACTGAATCGTAATTTGTAATTATATACTCATGTATTTTATTTACTGTCTGCCTGAGGGAAAGGAACACGTCTTATTTATTCATCTCTGTATTCCCACTGCCTAGCACAGAACCTAGCACACTGTTGGTATTCATTTAATATTTCTTGAATCAAAAAGAAGATGCTGAAAACTGGAAAGCCACATGTAAAAGAATGAAAATTGACCATTCTTTTTCACCATTCACCAAAATAAACTCAAAATGGATTAAAGACCTAAAGGTGAGACCTGAAACCATAAGGCTTCTGGAAGAAAACGTAGGCAGTACACTCTTGGACATCAGTATTAAAAGGATCTTTTCGGACACCATGCCTTCTCAGAGAAGGGAAACAATAGAAAGAATAAACAAATGGGACTTCATCAGATTAAAGAGCTTCTTCAAGGCAAATGAAAACAGGATTGAAACAAAAAAACAACCCACTAACTGGGAAAAAATATTTGCAAGTCATATATCTGACAAAGGCTTAATATCCTTAATATATAAAGAACTCTCACAACTCAATCACAAAACATCAAACAACCCAATCAAAAAATGGGCTGGAGACATGAACAGACATTTCTCCAAAGAAGATATACTGATGGCCAATAGGCACATGAAAAGATGCTCATCATCGCTGATCATCAGGGAAATGCAAATCAAAACTACACTAAGATATCACCTTACACCCGTTAGAATGACAAAAATATCTAAAACCAATAGCAACAAATGTTGGAGAGGTTGCGGAGAAAAAGGAACCCTCAAGCAATCCCAAAAAGTCCTGTGCACCCCAATGTTTATTGCAGCACTGTTTACAATAGCCAAGACGTGGAAGCAACCTAAGTGCCCATCAACAGACGAATGGATAAAGAAGATGTGGTACATATATACAATGGAATACTACTCAGCTGCAAAACAGAACAAAATCATTCCATTTGCAATAACATGGATGGACCTTGAGAGAATTATGTTAAGTGAAATAAGCCAGCAAGAGAAAGATAATCTGTGTATGACTCCACTCATATGAGGAATTTAAAACTATGGACCAAGAACAGTTTAGTGGATACCAGGGGAAAGGTGGGGTGGGGGGTGGGCACAAAGGGTGAAGTGGTGCACCTACAACATGACTGACAAACATTAATGTACAATTGAAATTTCACAAGATTGTAACCTATCAATAACTCAATAAAAAAAAAAAAGAAGATGCTGAGAACAGTAGTCAGGGAAATGCAAATTAAAATAGCAGTCAGTTATCACTACACTTAGCAAAATGTAAAAGGAACAGTTATATCTATCACTAGCTGAACTATAGGGAAAAGGGTCTTCTTATACACTGCTGGTGGAATTATTAATTGCTTCAGGCTTTTTGGAAGGCAATCTCGTAATATCTAGTAAGATAAAAATTGATGTGCCCTTTTATCCAACAGTGCCACTCCTGGGAATCTATCTTACAGGAATAAAAGCACCACTATTATAGGGATATATATAGAAGGGTGTATGTTTTGTAACATTGTTTATAGTTGCAAATAAACTGGAAACACAGTGAATGGCTATTATCCATTCGCAGAATGGCTGAATAACCTATGGTATTTCCACATGGACTACTACCCAGCCCTTAAAGAGAAGATTTGAGCTATACAGTGACTTCAAAAGATTTCCATGAAGTGTTATTAAGTGAGAAAAGTAAGATACAGAAGAGTTTGTTATATTATCCTTTTTTTGTAAAATAAACTAAGACCCAAAAAAGTTTGAGTATATGTGAATATCTCAGTATGTATGTGTGTATATATATTTGGGTAAAACTGTATATACTATGCTCTTAACATGGTTTGTGGATGAGTGACGTGTAATAAGAGGAAGGAGACAAGAACAAAATAAAAATGTACTGAGGATATGTGAGGATTTTTCTAGGATATGTGTGCACGTGCAATATACATGTATGCATATATATGACATGAATAAGCATTTCACAAGAAAAAATAGAAGTTACTAATAAACATGTGAAAGATGTTCAATTCTAGAACAAAGATATTGAATTAATAATGAAACAATTTTTACCATTCAGACTGAGGATATTTAGCATCAAGGATATTCATCCAAGCAATGCTTACAATAGTGAAACACTGGAACAACCTAAATGTCCAACTATTGAGAATTTGTTGAAAAATTAGCAGAATCTATGCAAGCATTAAAAATGAATGCTTTATTTGGTATAAATTGCCTTAGGCAAATCAGTTTATAATATAATGTGAAAACAGTCATAAAACAGTTTTCATTGTAAACCTATTTTTTTAATGAATGTGTCTGCATACACACATACATGCAAATATATGAAAAGAGAAATATCAGGAAAGGTATATTTCATAGAGACTTTCTTGATTATTCTGTATTCCTTTATTCAGTAATTTTCTTGAATACCTACCATGTGCCAAACATAAGTGCAAAATACAGACAGCAAAAGAAAGAGAAAGACTTTGTGACTTTTTTTCTTTGGAAAAAGCATTTCAGTTTTACAGAATACGTTCAGCAATAGAGTACAAGTAAAATTAAAGGGAAAAAAGCAAGTAGCTAAAGAGTATATTTAGTATGATCCTATTTGTGTTAGAAGGATTTAAATAGGCTCTACTGTAGTTTTTTATTCATGAAATTGTCTGGCGTGATTCACGAGAAAGCTGTTAATGGTGTTTTCCGATTCAAATGATAGGTCTGGAAAATAACGAATAGTGGGGACATGGCCTTTCCCTTTTCACTTTATTTGTAGAGAATATTTTTAGCATGAGCATGCTTTATTTGCTTTGTTAATTCTTAAAACTTAACCATTCAGTCAAGTACTTTTGAAGTGAAAAAGAAAAATATAACAGACACAAAATATATAATAAAATTTAAATTGGATTCTACTTACAACAGTACTCTCAGTTTTACTTCTGAGATTATATATTTGCACTGTCTATACCTGAATCATAGTTCTATTCAAAACTGACCAGGGGGCTGGCCCGGTGGCACAGCAGTTAAGTGCACACGTTCCACTTCTAGGCGGCCCGGGGTTCACCGGTTCGGATCCCAGGTGCGGACATGGCACCGCTTGGCACACCATACTATGGTAGGCGTCCCACGTATAAAGTAGAGGAAGATAGGCATGGATGTTAGCTTAGGGCCAGTCTTCCTCAGCAAAAAGAGGAGGATTGGCAGTAGTTAGCTCAGGGCTAATCTTCCTCAAAAAAAAATGACCAGAATCTGAATATTTTTTGACTTGTCAAATGTTATAATTTAACATGTTTTGTTTTTTAGACAACATTTGAGAGAGGGCTAGAACTACATGCCAAAGTCACAATTTTTGCAGAGGGTTGCCACGGACATCTAGCCAAGCAACTGTATAAGAAGTTTGATTTGAGGGCCAATTGTGAACCCCAAACCTATGGAATTGGACTGAAGGAGGTATCGTGGTTTGTTTTTGCAATTTTAATTTTGAAAGAGGGAGCTTAAATTCATTTGTATTATCATATGTACTTTATAATATTGATCTAATTTTACAGTTGTTATATTTCTCATTGACTTGAGATGTTCATTATGACTGAAAATATTTGGGATATTTTTCAAGGGGCTAGAAAATATTACTAATCAAATTCATTAACTAAATTGTGTCTACATGTTGTAATTGTTTTATCAAATGTTGCTTGAAATAAGTCTTGAACTTGAAAAAATTTGTAACATTGATTTTTTTTTCATTGTAATGCCATCTGCCCTAATAGGATTTGACCTCTTACCCATATGCTGTTTGTAGGATGACCACATCCTACAAGAATTATTTATTTAAAATTGTAATGTGAGATTTAGCTTATGAAATACACACTCAGCCATAGTATATTGATCTGTAACCTAAAATTTAATTAGGCTTAAGTGTTGTATATTTTCTCAGTTTACCCAATTTCTAGTCTATTTTCCCAAACCTTAGGCTTATTAGAGTGTAAAAGTGTCATTATAACCCTTTTGTTTAAATATTTAGGGCAAAGCTCGGAAAAATTCAAATTCTCTATATAACTAGATTCATTATATTGTGAATAAGGGCTTAATAGTTTTGGTAGATTGCACATAATATTATCTGACTGCAAATAGTGTGTGATTTTTAGATAATATTTCAGATAGAAATTGTTTAAAATTTAAAACTTAGCATTATGAAAATAGGATGAACAATTTGCTTCAATTGGGGAGGGAGGAGTACAGGGGGGAGGAAACTGTTTTATTGAAGAATGACATATGTGGTGTAAAGTGACAGATCTTAAGTGTACAGCTCACTTTTTATAAGGTGAACACATCCGTATAACCAAAATATGGAACATCACCAGCCCCCCACAAGTTTCCCTCATCTCTTCAGCGGTGTTTCCTGTAATCCCATGGAAAGTCTTACCAATTTGAGAATCTAATTATTGTTTTAAAGAGTGTATAACTTTTTTGACCTGTTTCTTTACTCTGATTCCCCAAGCTGCAATTTGATGTAATTTTCTTTAATATTTGAAGTACTTTTTTTGTGTTTCTCTTGTTACAGTTTTTCACTTGTCATTTTCATAAACAAGACGTAAAACTTGGAAGGTTTTATACATTCTAGTGACATAAAAAATTTAAATAACACTCTAGGACCTTTTTTCTTTTAGTTATGGCTTATTGATGAAAAGAAGTGGAAACCCGGGAGAGTAGATCACACTGTTGGTTGGCCCTTGGACAGACATACTTATGGAGGCTCTTTCCTCTATCATTTAAATGAAGGTGAACCCTTGATAGCTCTTGGTTTTGTGGTAAGTTATATCCCTATTATGAAAAGTTCTACTCTTAGAGTCATTGGGCCATCAGTGTTATAAAACGACAGTTTTGAATCTGGAAAATGTCAAATGCTTTTCATTTAAAGCTTACTTTCTAATTTTATCAATATGTAAAGTGCTTATGGCTATTATACACATTCGTTTACTTAAACTCATAGCGTTAGCAATAGTGGCTACTCCATGCTAGGCACTGTGCTAGATGCTTTGCTGAGAATTCTAAGTTTCCTAACAATCCTATGAAGTAGGGGAATCCTTATTTTACTGATGGGAAACTGAAGTCCAAACAAGTTAAGCTTTACCACATATGCACATTAAACAATGGAGGCAGGGTTCATGCCTGAACCTGTCTGACTTTAAAACCCACTTCTGCTATGGCATGCTTCTGCTGAAAATAAAATCAGCACTGGGTTTGAATGTATAACTTTTAAAAAGCATGAAACATTTTCTCCTTTTTTGGCCACCTGCATCTTTGCAGTAAATTATGTCTTGAACATTAGAAGGAATGGAAAAATAACATGAGTTTCTGCACTTTGCAGTGGTGGCAGCTTTATGGTTTAGTGTCATGATTAGACTTGTGTATGACACATTGTTAAGTGTTTGCATCACTGGTGTGTTATGACATCCAGCCAAGTGTTCCGTGCATCACCTTTGTGTAGTTATTCCAGTAACTTAATCTTCTCAAAGCAAAAAAGGTTTGGGTATTAGTTTCAGCACTGGGATAATGCCTCATAAAGTGTCATCTTCTGTATTTCTCTAACCCTCTTTTTCTCGAAGTGCGATTACATCCTGTTTCTTCATTTTTGCCTCAGTAGTACAGCATGTAGATTAGTTTATATTTAGAGTTGGTATTGATAAATGAATAATAAATAATTACAACTCCTTTTGTAGAAACATAATGTGAGATGCTTACCTACAAATATTTTTTAATTTGGACTTCTATTTACAAACCACAATGGTTTGTTAATATATTCTAAATTTTTAAAGTTTTGCCAATTATAAACACATGGTATCTTTTTGTTTACCCTTTCTTTTTCAAACAGATTTTATTTAGTTAGTTATTTAAATTTGGGTTACTGCATATATTTATCCAAATACTTTTGAGTACATGTTTTCTGATAAATATTGCTCACATTTTAGTTTGATTTAATTTGAAATAAAAATGTCTCATTGCATAAATATATCATATTTAAATATAAAAATTTTAAGGTTGGTCTAGACTATCAAAATCCATACCTGAGTCCATTTAGAGAGTTCCAGAGGTGGAAACACCATCCCAGCATTCAGCCAACATTGGAAGGTGGAAAAAGGATTGCATATGGAGCCAGAGCTCTCAATGAAGGTGGCCTTCAGGTAACTCTTCCAACTTTTTTATTCTTTATTTCTGTGTTATAAATTCAGCATTGAAAATATAATGTAACAAATTTAGATAAAGATTAGAAAATTAGCCCATAGGAAGAAAAGCTGAAGAATTAAGGAAAGCACCTAGTGTTTATAAATCTATGTCACATAATAGCTAAATAAATTATACCATGAGTTTAGTTTTAAGAATATATTGATCTCTAAAGATAAATTCATCAGCTTTTTTTTTGTTTGTTGGTTTGTTTTTAATCAGAAAATAAAATCTATGTGATCCAAAATATATTTCCCTTTATTCCGTAGCTGCCAGGAAACTCAAAGGCAAATTCAGTTTTCAGCAAAGATAATTAATTCATCCCAACTACCCAGTAACATCCATGCCTTTAATTGTCCTACTTTAGTATATGTTCAAAATAAATCTTATCAAATGCAGATAATATGTTCAGTATATACTAATTAAACAAAGAAATAAGACCTAGATAGCTAACTATGATAAAAGCTGTTGGTACTGTTATGGAAATAGTATCAGACAGGTAGGAAGATCTAAAAATGAGCTCTAAACCTTCTCCCAAATGATTTGCAGCAAGTTACTCAACTTCTCTTGCCGTAAGGGATCATCTGTAAAATAAAGGTGGTCCCTTCTGTCTCTAATATTCTAGGGATCTAGAACTATTTTAGAAATTGGTTATCTTTTTTTTAAATAAAATCTATGGTAAAAAGAACCGATAATAGAAAAATTGAGGGGGGTAACTGACTTAACCTTTAAAGTGAAGTTCTAAATGCTTTATTACTATAACAGTAATTCATAAAGTCAAGTAAAATTATAGCTAAATTATAAACATAGTCACTGGAACCTTAAAATAACACTGTCCCTAAATTCTGTTGTGATGGGATTACTTCTCATGAGGTTGTTTTTGTTTCTAGAGTAGTAATTCATTTGCAACAAAAATTTGTTGCATTGCACAACTATGTTCAAGCCCATTAAACTCCTTAATGGGCTTAATGTTCGTAATACCTGCTGTCAGTCTAATTCTGCTCTTTTTAATTTCTAACACAAAGGTTTCAGTATACTCAGTAGTACACACAGATTTGTATTTTGAAACATCTGCTTTGTGTGCTTCAGCATCTCAGGATTTGCAGATTGGCAGGAAGAGATAACCACACACACACACTTTTTACCTAAATTTTCTGATTTAATTAGTCAAAGATTTGGAAATTTATTTCCAGTAAGTTTTTGACGACCTTAAGAGGCAATAATTTTGAACATTTCCATTTTCTTTTTTTTGAGCTAACAAATACTACATGACTTTGTTTCTCTCTTCAGTCTATACCAAAACTCACCTTTCCTAATGAGTTTCCAGTTATTTGTAGCCCTAGTTTAATGAATGTCCCAGAGTACAACATTTCTCAGTGCAACTTTTCCTTGGTTCCAAGTTCCTTAACAAGACGCCCAGCTGCCAGTATCACATCCCACACAAAGATCCTCCTGGAACTTAAAAACACACCAGATCACGTCTCTCACAGCTGATAGCTGTAGTTTCCCTGTTAACCCGCTCTTCTCAGAGGCCCTCTCAGAACCATCAGCCAAACTCATACCACCCCCCACTTTCTCAGCAAAGGCCCATGACATACTTTAGGAAGCACTTAAAGAAGAAAAAATACAGAAGGAGGAAAGAACAACTCTGCACTGGCTTTCTCTTCTTTCCTTTTCAAAAAATATAGAATAGAGTACATTTTCCCATGCAAACAATCTATATAGTTCAGCTGCTACCTTGTGGGGTATATATAGGCTTTTATTGGCTAAACTGAAAAATATCACCACCCTTTATCACGTTTTTCAGCAGAAATGTATGCTGAGGCCCATACAACTGTCTTAAAGTTTATCTTGGAAATTCAACTTATTCTTAAGTTAATTAAAATATATTATTTAAGGTAATAGCTAATTGTAGTGATGCCATGATTAGAACCTAGGTTTCCATCCCTAGATGTCCAAGTAAAATAAAAAGTGTATAGAATTGAGAGAACATCCTTTGTAAATCCTGTGTTACCCAGAATGCATGTAAAAGCAGATCACAATTCAGATAATAGTTGTTCAGGTTTAGAGAATATTTTTAACTATAAATGGATATGTATAAATAAATTTTATTTAAATATGTTAACACTCCGGTCTTAAATCTGTCTCTTGTAGGTCAGTTATGGGGAGGGAGAAGAAAAGTCTTAATAAAAAATAGTAATAGTCCTAATCCTCATTCTTAGGGGAGGGGGAGAAAAACTGACCTTGATCTGGTTTTTCCTTACCATATTCATGTTTTGTTTTTTTCAATTTTCCTCTGTAGCTTTAGAAGATTTTTAAGAAGCTATAATTTGGAGTATTTAGTTTTGCTTGTTTAATTTAAGCTAACAAATGCACTCTGAATGTTTTTTTCTTCAGTCTATACCAAAACTCACCTTTCCTGGCGGTTTACTAATTGGTTGTAGCCCTGGTTTCATGAATGTTCCCAAGATCAAAGGTACCCACACAGCAATGAAAAGTGGAATTTTGGCAGCAGAATCTATTTTCAATCAACTAACTAGTGAAAACCTCCAATCAAAGACAACAGGTAAGAACTTCCTATTTAAAGTATAGAAAATTGTCAGGTTATTCTTGAAACATTAAAAAAAGAAGCACATACTCAGTATATAGATAGAGGGTGATAATAAATACAATTAAAAATCTTCAGGTCTTTTTTATGTATATTTCAACTGACATTAAAAGATATATATTGGAGCTGGCCTGGTGGTGGAGTGGTTAAGTTCACATGCTCCCCTTCAGCAGCCCAAGGTTCACAGGTTGATCCCAGACACAGACCTAGCCCTGCTAGTCAAGCTGCACTGTGGCAGCGTCCCACATAAAACAGAGGAAGATTGGCACAGATGTTAGCTCAGCATCAATCTTCCTCAAGCAAAATGAGGAGGATTGGCAACGGATGTTAGCTCAGGGCCAATCTTCCTCACCAAAAAAAAAAAAAAAAAAAAAAAGGAGAGCAAGAGAGTGTATCTGTCCCTTTACACAAAGCATTAAGATGTGTGCTGTGCAAAGAAAACTACATGACCCTACTGTCAATAATAGATTTTTATAGCAATGTTCTGTTTTATTCACATCAAAAGTAGAATACCACTGGTGTCCCACCTACTTAGAAATGATTTCAAGTTTGACAGTGCTGCATGTATGTTGCATACATGTAACATACATGCTAAGATACCTCACTAGTACTGTAGTATCTTCAGCCTGAAAACAGACTAGCTTTGCAGAACGCAGAATCCAGCAGCACCTGTTCCTTAGCAGGCTTTGCAAGCACAGGCATATATCTGACCCTTCTCCTGGAGAGGGACAGCTAGCACTACACCTCAGTAAACCCTTAATCTACAAAGACCCTCTAGTGACTCTCGAAAGCCAAAGTTCCCTCACCCCTCCACTTCATCTCTTTTTACTCTCCATTTTAGCCACACTGGCTGCTTCACTGCTTCTGGAACGTGCCAGGCATGCTCCCATCTCATGGTCCTTGCTCATGCCCGACTCCTTTGCTCCCTTCACCTTTGCTTAACTATCACTTCCTCACAGTGGTCTTCCCTTGACCATATCAGTTATTTTGCAACACGCACACACAGAGCACTCCTAACCGACATCTCCCACCCACGCACTTTTTTTTTCCATAGTATATTCCACATTTTGGCACACTGTATAATTTACTTATCAACTTTGTCTTTGTTTCTTGTTTCTTGGATAGAAAACTCCACGACAGCAGGGACTTTAGGTTCACTACAAATCCCAAACACTTGGCACGTTATAGTAACTCAGTAGATATTTGATAAATAAGCCTTGTTCCTTGGAATCCCAGATAACAAATGTTCCTCCAGTTAGAAGTATGCAACCTGATGATGCCTTCAAATGTTGTTGTAGAAATGGAGGCATAGGGTATAAGAGAGGAAGATAAGGTAGAACATAGAAAAGGCAAAAGGATACTTCAGGGAGGACAGAATGGGCAAGATGGTGTATAATAGTTGAGTGGCAGAACGTTTTTTCAAATTTTCTTGCCAAGCATCTTTCCTTGTTGGACCACCAGCCATACTTTCACTGTATCTTGTACACACAGTACCACACAAATAACACTGGAGCTAGTAGATCACCAAAGACTAGATTGAGGGTTAAAGACTGCAGGAAAGGGAAGTGGAGCCAGAACAGGAAACAATGACCGGAAATAGTAGTCAGTGTGGCATTCACGAAAGTTAAGAAGAACCAAGTTGTCCCATTAAATATTAAATGCATGCACCAAGTTTTAGGTCTTGTTATAATTCCCTAGGCTGCCACAACAAAGTACCACAGAAATTTCCTCTCACTTCTGCAGGCTAGCAGTTCAAAGTCAAGGTGTTGGCAGGACCATACTCTCTCTGAAGTCTCTAGGGGTGCATCCTTTCTTGCCTCTCCCAGCTTCTGATAGACCCAGGCATTCCCTTGGCTTGTAGCAGAATAACTCCAATCTCTGCCTCCGTCTTCACCTGGTTGTTTTCTGTCTCATAGGGACACCAGTCATTAGATTAAGGACCCAGTCTACTCCAGTATGAACTCATCTTGACTAATTACATCTCCAGTGACCTTATTCTGAACCATTCTGAGATACTGGGGATTAGGGCTTCGAAACATCTTTTTAGGGGGACACAACTCAACTCGAACAGATAAAGTGTTTCATTGATCAATTATAAAAATTTTCACTTTTATAGATAGCATCAACTTTTTATCTTAAACTTCCCTTTCAGGTTCACTGAATTTTGAAACTAATTTTCCGTGCTACCAGTATAAGAAATCAAATGCCTTATTGCCTGTTAACAACATATATCAAGTGGTTATCTTTTTGGAAGATGCCAACATTTATTCATGAAAGATTCTTCAGTGTGGTCTTATATGACCACTTGTTTTTTTAAAATTACCTAAGATTCACTCATCAGATATTTCAGGAGCAAAATACCTTGATGATAAAGTATTTTATACTCCTTGAGGCAATTTCATACTTAACATCTCATGTTTTTAATAAAAGGACTCCATGTAACTGAGTATGAGGACAATTTGAAGAAATCCTGGGTGTGGAAAGAGCTGTACACTGTTAGAAATATAAGGCCATCCTGCCATGGGATACTGGGTGTGTATGGAGGGATGATTTACACTGGAATTTTTTACTGGATATTTAGAGGAATGGAGCCATGGACTCTAAAACATAAAGGTAATCCAAACACATTTGATAATATGAATGTTATAATCATTAAAAATTCATGAATGGAATTCATTAATTTGTGGAGAAAGCGAACTTTTTTGTTTTAAACTTTATTAGAGAAATGATAAATTCAGTATCTTTAAGAGAGCAGCATATTGTTATTTTAAGAGGGCTCAGGTCTTATTTCTTTGGTATATTTCTAAGTTTTTAGAAAAATGTTTAAGAAACTAAAGCTAGTATTATATTTTAATTAAGAATCTTCAAAACTTTTGAAGGGTCTGACTCTGATCAGCTTAAACCAGCCAAGGATTGCACACCTATTGAGTATCCAAAACCCGATGGACAGATCAGCTTTGACCTTTTGTCATCTGTGGCTCTGAGTGGTACTAATCATGAACATGACCAGCCAGCACATTTAACCTTAAAGGATGACAGTATACCTGTAAACAGAAATCTGTCAATATATGATGGGCCCGAGCAGCGATTCTGCCCTGCAGGTCAGTAATGTGATTTCCATCGATTCTTAAAATAACAAATACTTGTTTTAAACATGTTAGAAATATGCTTCCATTATTTTAAGGCATTTCTATATCTCCGTCCCTTGCTTATAAATTTTAAATGACTCATATCCAGCTTCCTTTAGAAACTCATTATTTTTTTTTTTAAAGATTTTATTTTTCCTTTTTCTCCCAAAGCCCCCTAGTACATAGTTGTGGATTTTTAGTTGTGGGTCCTCCTAGTTGTGGCATGTGGGATGCCACCTCAGCATGGCCTGATGAGTAGTGCCACGTCCGTACCCAGGATTCGAACTGGCGAAACTCTGGGCCGCCGCAGTGGAGCATGCGAACTTAACCACTCGGCCACAGGGCCAGCCCCCCTACAAACTGATTATTTTTATAGTTCTTTAGCAATGTTAAAATAGAGAATTTTTGTTAAGCCTAGTTCAGATGACATTTCTCAAAAAAAGCCTTTCTGTCTACCCTTGGACCAAGCTAAGGATTATGAAACACCAAAGAATACCTTTCAATGTTTACATGACTTTAAAAATTCATTTCTGTCATGGCTGCTCATATATATAAACACACACAGATATAAATATATGGTATGTATGTATATATACTAAAATACTAGGCTATAGCCACGGTTAGCTCAAGGAAATGGTCCAAAACTTTAAATTCATCATGAATACTGTATCTTGTGATGCTAAGCTTTCAACTAGAATCAGAATAAGAACCAGGTCTCAAATGATATGGTAGAATAATATTCAGAAATGTGAAAATTAGTACATTCTGGAGAAGGACGAGAACGTAAGCTCTTGGACAGCAGGGACTTGACTGTCTTTGACTTTTTTTAATCGTTTCTGTCATCACAGTAGGTTACAAACTCCCGAGGGTAAGGACTGGATCTAATTTGTGTGTTCAGCTATAATACACATCTGCATATAAAACTGGAACTCAGACTGCTAAATGTTGAGTTCCCTTGTTAGTAAGACTAACTCAGCCAAATAGTGCTATACCTTCTGCTTTTATCTGTATTTAATTTATACTAACAGCAATAGCACACACTAAAACCTTCATAATATTCTTTATGGGTAAACATTCAGAAAACAAACCTTCAGGATTTCTGTAGCTACTGTTTCCAGAACTTCAGTTATTCTTTTGAATTTAAAAAGTTAGGTGCTTCACAATATTGTATATCTTTCCTTACAGGAGTTTATGAATTTGTACCTTTGGAACAAGGTGATGGATTTCGGTTACAGATAAATGCTCAGAACTGTGTGCATTGTAAAACATGTGATATTAAAGATCCAAGCCAGAATATTAACTGGGTGGTACCCGAAGGTGGTGGAGGACCTGCTTACAATGGAATGTAAACTGCAACTGATTTCATCTGCAGGCACATTTGATAGCCAGTTTCTTTAAAATGTATGGTAAGCTCACTTTAAAATTTAGAAGTTAACAAGTGTCAAAATATCTTACAGCACATTATTGATCAGAATGTTAATAAAATAATCAGTGAAATAAAAATTTTATACTATACCTAAAACTGTCCCATAAAAACTTATGAATATTTCTCTTAAAACTTTATATGTGATGTAGCATATATTTCCCTCTTCAATTCTTCAGACATTTAGTATGAAGAGCAAAATGCACTTTTGGGCCTTAATTGTATATGTTGGCTCATCAAATTCAACACTTTAAGTATAAAAATAAATGTATATTCTAAACCAGAGGTTGGCATCCAGCCCACCACTTATTATTTATTGGAACACAGCAATGCCTGTTGGTTTACATATTGTCTGTGGCTACCTCTGAGCTACAAGTGCAGAACTGAGTAGTTATGACAGATTATAATGGTCCACAAAGCCCAACGTATTTACTCTCTAGCCTTTTAGAAAAAGTTTGCCGACCCCAGAACATGTGTATCTGTAATATCTGTAGGTACACAACACCAGCACAAACCAAAAACAGAAAAATACATCAAAGAGTTGAGGGAAACAACACAAACTTATGCTTTCATCTGTTTATTCAACAAGATGTCTTTAGGAGTTTAAAAATAGGTTGGACACCATTCTTCTTTGTGAATAATACAGACAGCCATTTAAAAAAAATCAACTTCACTGTATTTTGTAACACTGTTTAATAAGAGTGAACCCATATCAGTATTCCTAAGATGTAAACAACAGGGAACTGAAGTAGCAAAGGAAACACATTAGGGATCGTTTATATAATAGACAAAACCCTTACATTTTCTTATTGCCTTTATACAATCAATGCATAATATTTAAGCAAAGCTGAATCCTTACTAAGCAAACATTTTTGCATATGCTGCCTTCTCTTTATCTTTCTGTGCCTTTATCTTTTGTTTGACTTTCAGCAATTCTGCCTGGATAGCTGCAAAATAAATATGTAATATGAGTTATTTCTCAAAACATCCAAAAAATTAGGTTGACCAACAAATGTCTAAGTATGATAGTTCTCTACCCCTTGATAAAACTTTTCTTCTCCAGAGAGTAACTCAGCCCTATTAACAGAAAACTTAACTGAGAAAACAACTGCACAAACACAAAAATCATGAAGCATAATTTTAGAAGACTGTCAATTCAGAGAACTCTAATTGAATTAAACAGATTTGCCTTTTCCCTCTTCCATCAGAAAGGGCAGTTAAGTGCCTCCCTTGTTTGACCAGCAATAAGAGAGCAAAAATATATTTTAATATCTAGATCTAGTATCACTACTCGTAGTTGGTTTATTTGAAAAACAAACTTATTTTTGTCACAGCTTTCCAAAGCTTTCCTTACACAGTAGCTAGAATACTTAGGTTATGGCCAGATTCATCTTAAAGAATGGTCCCAAATATTAAATTCACCATAAATACTGTATCTTTTAGTGCTGTGCTTTCAACTAGAATTATGGTAATAAGAACCAGATCTCAAGTGATACAACAGAACAAATAGTATTCAGTTATGTGAAAATTAGTATTCTGGAGAAGGACTAGAATATAAGCTCTTTGAGGGCAGGGACCTTGACTATCTTGTTCACTGTAGTATGATCAGTGCCTGGCCCAATAACAGGCATTCTGTAACATCTGTTAATCAGTAGGGTACAATGATTCATAAGAATAAATTCTTAAAGGACAAAATGAACTTTCACCTCAAAAACTGCCAACTTACCTTTATCTTCTGGTGCTATCTCCTGAGCTTTCTTAAGATCAGCCTTTAATTGTAAAAAAATATTTAATGAAATATTAGATGTATGATTTATGAAGGTAGTTGTCCATTTAAAAAAATTAAAATTTAAAACAAAATTTTACCAATGCTTGATCGTATTCTTTTAATCCTTGCCATCCTTGAGCTCTACGGTACAGTGCTTTGGTATTTGATGGGTCTATTTTAAGAGCCTACAAAAAGTTACAAAATTAGTATTTTTATCTAAATATTAAGTATTAAATATATATGCTAGATCTCAACATATTGCCTGTCAGCTCCAAATCAACTCTTCACCACTGTGATAATGGAGCTGGACCCTGTAAAATCTCTCCTCTGCCAGCCAGCACAATGTTTTGTCAGTAGAGGGCACTAAATGGATATAGAAGAGAAAGATGTCTCTTCCAGGTTCCAGTGTGCTCCTCTCATCAGGCTCCTGCAGTGAGCCTGGTCAACAGCACAAAGCATCTCCCAGCAGGCAACTTCCCCAGGCACTCCAGTGAATCCCACAAGGATGGTACCCAATGAACTTCTCTACCACCCAGTGAGTCACAGCCACGCCTTCTCCAATGAGGCCTGGATCTCAGTCCAGGGGCCTGGAGAGGTGCCTCTTCCCTTGGGGTTCCATGTCAGCCTAGAGGGAGCAGCTGCCCCTGTATTTTATATATCTGCTATTCCCATATTCTTTAGACTTCTCTTACCAGCCAATCCCTCATTATTCCAATCCAATCTTAGATATTCTTTTATAGTAAACTGTGTTGAAATTACTGTGTGGTTTCTATCTCCTGACTGGGTCCTAACTGATGATAAACATTTTGAATAAAAATTAGTATACACTCTTACTTGAAATCTAAGAGTTTTTTTAAGGAGCCTGAGTAACTTTTAACAGGTCTCTGTTCGGAAACAAACATTCTAAAAATAATATATTTTGTTAACATGTTTTAAAGATCAATACTCAGATTTTACTGAAAAGGGTATACTGTCTGGCTCACAAAGGGCAAAAAGAGATCTAGAGTGAAGACCAATCTTCTCCTTTGATAACATTTTCCCTCTGTTGTATGCTCCCTTCTAAATATATTCACATCCCTTATTCCACCTACCCTACCAAATTAGGACCTCATTTTATTTCTACTTGCTCTGGGCTAGCTGATCCATGCACATAGCTTACTAAGCAATACCCATAAAAATTACTGGGGGTGGTCTAAAATATATTGTTTAATTTGGAAATTTTTTCAAACTATACAATAGCACGAGAGTGATAATTGCTCTATCTGAGGAAGGTTTATCAGTGAGTATTCTAGCTTTATCAGTGAGTATTCCTGGATGCCCCCATAAAGACAGGTGACCTTTCCGTATGTTCCAACAGTACCCAATCTCCCTATATAAGTCCTGGTGACCCTAAATTAAAATTGACTCCCTCTTCCACCAAATAAAAAGTTTCTTGAAGGCATGAGTCTGTCTTTTAATTAAAATACCTAGTCTCTATTGGGTGTTTAACATGTGCCCAACACTGGGTTAAATGCTTTACAGATGTTATATAATCCCTATAATAACCCGATGAGGCAAGTAGTAGTATTTCCATTTAACATAGAAACAAATTAAGACTCTAAAATTAGGAACTTGCCCAAGATCACAAAGCTAGTAAGTGACAGAAGTCTAATTAAAAAACATGTCTGACTCCACAACCCACATTCTTAATCAGTCCTGGCTTTGTCTTCCAATGCCTAGCACATAACAGATGCTCAATATGTTAAATGAATAAATGAGCTGATATATGTGCTTGGAGGAAAAAAGAAAAAGTATCTTCATAGATAATAAGTGACAAAATGTTGTAAATAGAGAAATAAGATGACTTAAATTATGTTTCATCTAGTCTTGTTAGGTCCTATGTCATAAGATATATTAATGCATATAATATATACATTTTGTTCAAGTTGATAAATCATAACCCAACTCCTTTAGAAAGTTCAACATCAAACAGACTCACCTCCAAACAACTGTCGATAGCTCCCTGCCAATTTGACATCTTCAGTTTACAAGCACCAATGTTCAATACACAGCTTAAAGCTACTGGTTGCAGCCTGGATCCATCTGCTTTCTCAATAACAGCCTTTGAACATTCTACATATCTGGAGAACACATTAATAAAAGTAATATGGAATGCAACATAAACAAGACTCTACTTCTTCAACTTTGTCAAAAAGTGTTATGTCATTTCTGGTACAAAAAGCTCATCAAATGCTAATATTAATATTCTTAATGGACACAATCTTTTTATTAAATACTTATTTTTCTTTGGAAGATTTATTTTTCCCCCAAAGTGTTCAAAGAGGCCAATTTAAGAATAATCCCAAATTTAAAGATAATTATGCACTATTAACACTTTTCTATCTTTAAACTCAGGTCCCCATTATGTACTTTCCAGTGTAACTATGTCTGAAACCAGGGTTCTCATCGTGGGAAGAGGGCACAGGTGAAGAGCCCTGTAGCGCTGGTTTTGAATTGTGTTTTAATAGTCAGTCATGTGCCGCATAACAAAGTTTTGGTCAGTGATGGACCGCATATACAACACCGGTCCCATTAAGATAAGCACCATATAGCCTAGATGTGTAGTAGATTATACTATCTAGGTTTGCGTAAGTATACTCTATGATGTTCACTCAATTGACGAAATCAGCTAACGATGCATTTCTCAGAACGTATCCCCGTTTTAATTGACGCAAGACTGTAGTTTCTGGCTCTGTGCATTGAAAAGGTCCCAGAAACAATGAGCACATTTGGCACCCAGAATTTGGTTTCTAAAGTCTATCCTCACTGAAAAGAATCAAGACTCCTTAGTGAAGTTGCTGATACCAGATCTGGAAACAAGGTGAAGTATAAGATGAGCCTGGAACATCTTGTGCCAGAAAGCAAGTGCTCACAGATAATAGGAATATGTCAAAAGGATATAAGGGGGCTTCTACTGGACAAATCTGGAACCCTTTGAGTATCAAAAAGAATGATGGTAACGGTATAATAGGTTAAACTGAAAAAAATGCACAGGTCTATAATGATAGTAAAAGAGGAAAGGAGTGTGGGGAGGCTCTTTCAAACAAGAATGCCTGCTAGTAACTGCAGAATGAGTGATAAAATTAGAAAACCACAGTTCTGTAACCATCAATGTAATAACTAATTCAGGCAAGGGTCTTCAATGATGCTGAAACCACTGAGTGTAAGGTTAGAAACTGGATATTCGCATAATCTCACAGTATCATCTCACAGAGTACTTCTTAATTATTTACAAAGGGGAAAAGGTGCTTTGACAACAGAGACATCTGGCTGACACCACTTTACCG